AATTCTGCAGTGCAGAAGGAAGAGAAATAAGAAATGTTAAAATGAACTCTTATTGTCAGTGCAACATATTAAGTATCTTAACAAGTCTTCTTCTCAGGATCTTGAACAAGAGGTTAAAAGACTGTCTCTGCCGGCAGTGTGCCACAGGACCAAGGAGAACAAGGTCACTTGATTTAAAACACTGTTTTATATTTAATGTAACACTCTCATGTTGTCATCCTGAATTTTCCGAGCYATTACATTCCATTGGCATTAACACAATCCTACAAATCACGGGTAGTTATCTTTCTACCAAGATGCGGCATAATTTAAAGCATCAATAAAATATGAAAAGTTCAAGGAAGCACACTGTATCTGTTCATATATAAATTTATGTATGTAGATATAATGATGTATTTATGTGTAAATATACACTCAGCCCTCATCCCCACCCCACACCTCCTCGAGTGACCAATTTCCTCTTTAGATAATGCCGTAGCATAAACCTGACTGTATGTATAAAAGAAATAACTTTTTCCWTGACAACATGGTTGTCTTATTAAGAATTGATAGCTATCAGTTATACTACTAGGATGCTGAGGTCACAGGTTAAATATGAACCCCTACTGCAACTCTAAAGAAAATTGCTTTTGTGTTGAACATGGCATGACTCACTCTAGAAAGAGTTTGTGCCTGACTGTGCATTTAAACTCTCTCAATTCCAAGGAACACTGCACTATTACATAATCCTTGCCCTAAATATAGCCTCCTAACCATGCACACTCACTGTCTCAGTATCACAGGTCAGCGRTCTCAACCTTTGTGGACACTGTTACAGCGTCAAGTTAATGACATCAAACGATTTTTCGAGGAAGCCACTGAATCTGAAGCTTTCTCTCCTCCCTCTCTAGGAGAAGGCAGCCAGRCAGGATATTGGGAATGGTGCAGACACAGGCTTTGCTGATTCTTTTTCTTCCACAGAGATAATTCTACTGTCACTAGTTTGCTTGGTGATAAATTTTAAAGAACCTAAATATATCTGTACTCTTCTACCACATCTCTGTCCTCCCTGGCACATTAAGATGGGAATAACTTCCCTCTTGAGATAACTCTTTTTTTCTATTAAGYCAGGCTATGTTGTTTCAATTTCAGAACTGAAAAGTTCTTCAGCAAGATTATCTACACTTTTGGAGAGGAAGCGAATTTTCTCCCAAGACTGACGTCAAGATGGAGGGTTTTGTGTGGAGCTTTGTGAGACTAGATCCTTTGCAAAAGAAAAAAAAAAAGTAACTTTTTGACAACTTCAAACTCTCCATGTATTTGAATCACTTTTAATTATTTGATTTAGCTGATGAAATTATTTTATAGTGTTGGTGTTAGTAACAGTGCCAAGCACAGGTATTTCCCTTTACCCACACTCATTCCCCTCAGGGGCTAGGTCTCAGGGATTAGAGCAACAGAGCTCCAGCTTCAATTTGCCCCTTTGCTTGATTCAGCACAGGGTCCTCACTGGGCACTCGACCRTTTCAGTGAGCTGTTCCTGCTTTTCCCAGAAGTTAATATTATTTTTTAATATCATTTTCCACTAGCTGGAACAAAAACCAGGGTACAGAGCAGGGTACACTCTCCAGTCAATGTCTGCCACCAGTGTTCCCTCCAGCCCACCACTATCTCCTGGTCTCCTGTGGCTCAGAGCACGAGACATTTTCACTGCAAAAGTCCACCCCCCCCCTTTTTTCTTTCCTTTTTTTTTRCAAGTTAACCAAAAAATCTCAGAGAAAAATAATTTGTAATTAACACAAAACTTCTTTATTTCAATTTTGCCACCCACCTAACAAAAAAAAACATCAGTGACTTGTGCTGCTAGGGGGGCGCCTCACATTTCATATATACCAGAGAGGATTTCGGAGGGAAGATGAGTAGTCTGTGGACAACCCTAGAGAAGCAGCTCGCCTAATAATGTGTTGGGGAGAGCTGTTATATCCCCTCGAGTGGTAGAGTGAGAACAGACTGCTAACTTGGTAGAGTGAGAACAGACTGCTAACTTCTTCTGCAGTTTTCCAGCACCAAGAAGACACAAACATGGCTGCTGTCAGTTGTTGTCAGAGAGCCTAGATACCACCGAGCTGAGCTAAGGAATGAGTGATGTGATTATGTGGTTTGTTTTACTAACTGGGGTATTGATTTACCGGCAGGGATAATCGGAGCAGGAGGAAGCTTTTGCTGAAGAAAGACTGTTCCATAATAGTGCGCTCCAGAATTCCCTTCATCTCTTGCTGAAGTGTGTTGTAACTGTCTCTTATACTGTACATGATACTGAATTCTGATCCTGAGCTGATCCTTAATGAGCAAAATGATGTGAAAATGAACACAAAATACTCAGGGATTAAAATTAAATGATATTCTTGCATTCAGATAGAATATTATCACGGTGACTATGATCATTTAAACTCAGAAAACTGATCATTATGTTGCTTTTCTGACTGCCTATCCCTCTCAATGAAATCTGTAATTAAATTATCGAATACATAACAGATTTAAATCATTAAAGACTTTAAAAATGATGGCCAAAATTCAGAATGCGAAGACACTGTGGAAGTGAGAATGTGAGGGCCTCTATGACACAGCAGCTCTGCTCTGGTGTTGCTCCCCTGCTCCATGCTGCTGAAAGACTTTGGTGCCACTGGGAGCAGGGCAGCTCCTGTGCACGGAGACCTCCTCCTGCCTCCAGCCCTGCAGCCTGCAGTTGTGACCAAGCATGACCGTAAGTGTGACCCACTTGTAGGAACAGAGAATCACTGACTCATGAAAATGGAAAGCTGAAGGAGGCCAGCAAAGAAAAGGTGCTCAACTACCCAGCTTGCTATCACCACTCCAAATAGGTGTGTTCCTAGGCAAATACTTCTTAATGTTTAAACAAATATTTGGCTTGAAGGCTGGGAAAATACTGTTTTACAGTGAATACAAGCCTACTCCTCCTCACATGTACAATTGTACGTACCAGGTGCTGCCATAAATTAGCTCGTATTATGAAACCTACTATATCTCTGGAACAAGTACACTTGATCGAAATGGAGCCCAGTATGTTGCATATATTGCTTTAAATGGCTTTTCTAAAATAGATGAAGCTACACAGGCATCTGGAATTTGAGGGGGCAACTGATTAAGTAATTGGCTGGAGTTAGCCAAGAAATTGGTCAATGAGGTCCCTTGACCTCTTTTTCTGTAACAATGCTTAAGTGCCTGCTGTCTTAGTGGGATGCAATAAAACATTTGCTTGGAATATTCCCTTTGATATCTTGTCTGCATTACAGTCTTTCAGACTGTATCCATTATTAATTGTCATTGCCAGTGATTTAGATCACCTTGTTCCTATGTATAACTCTTTTAGGGGAAGTAACTGCATCCTAACAGGACATGGATGCTGAGAAGAGGTGGTGAAGTTATGTTCTAGTGACTAGTGTTCTAGTTTGATTCTTCATTTATACCCTTTGCCTCTTAATTTAACTCTGTTTGGTTTATACATAYGATTTATTCATATAAGAAGGCAGTATGGAAAGGTTTTACCTTTTAACAGTTCTGGAGCTCAGCCATAAGAAAAAAGCATTTCCTTCTGCTGAAACAGCCCAACACCCAGGCAGCCCCTTGGTTGTGTGATCAGCCTTCAGATACACTCAGCTATCAGAGGGAAGAGGCAAATGGTCTGGAGACTAGATGAACTGCCCTGCCAGGTCAGGTTCAGCCCATGGGCTCATTTTGGCAGGGTTTGCAAACAAAGGGAACATTGTTACATCACTTTCAGCTTCTATCACGAAAAACAGTTTCGCCCCTAAGACTGCGGCCTTTCTGTTCCAATTTAGTCCTCACAGCTTGCAGACGTACCTTTCAATTTAAGCTAAATTGCTGGATTTGGTTTCTTCTGTCCAGTCTCACTCAGTTTCTAACCTACAAAATGCCACTTCCTCAGTGCGATGCTACACGCGAGATGCGAAAGGGAAATGGCAGGCTCCGGCATTTCCTCTGGCTGGTGTCCCCAAAAGGAGCTTTACACATCTTAAGGGACACTCCACAACATTTTTCACTGATTTTTCACTTTTTTTTTTTTTTTTTTTAACTTGTGGTGGGGAACTGTGAGGAAGTTGTTTGGAGTTTGAAGCAGATAAAGAAGAGGTACTTGAAGTGAAACTTAGAAATGTCATTCTCTTGGACCACTCAAGAACACCTATACTCATGGTGAACACTGCCCTGAAAATAAGGTTGGGATTTTTTGTTATTAAAAAATACTATCTCCAGGGTTGGCACACAGAATCGCAGAATAGCTGATGTTGGAAGGGGCACCCGCAGGCTGCCTGGTTCAGATTCCACCCCCAATGAGGCCTGATCTGCGTGGCACATCTCAATGGCTTGGGGAAGGCCAGAAATGCCTCCTGCAGGGATTGCTTCCTGAATTAGTTCTATTGGAGGAACTGGGCATGAACCTCCTGCTACACACCGTGCGCTCAACACCACCTTAGGAGTTACCCTTTGACAAGTGCCTTTGAACTATGAAAAAAATGATGGATTTTTAAAAAGAGGAATCTTTAAGTCTTTAGCTGTTGGCTTTCTTATCAGCGATGCACAGAAGGCTGGGAATCTGAAAGATGTGTGTGAAAGGGCGAAGGGACCTGACTGACATGCCCCGTTATGCACCATGTCCGCCCTACCCCGTCCTGCCAGCGCGACTTTTCGCGTTGGCCTCACTGTATTTTAGATATTTTAGATAGTTGAGAATCACGCCCCTCCGTCCCCGCGCCGCGAGGATAAACGCGCGGCCGCTCAAGGGGCTCGCGCGCGAGCCGCGCGGCGGGCGGGGCCGCCGGCGGCGGTTGGCGACCGTTGGCGGCGGTTGGCGGCCGCGCGCGCGCGCGCTCCTGGCGGCGGCGGCCACCTGCGCCGCGCGGCGCTCAAAGCGAGCAGGAAGCGCGGCCAGGCCCGGCCCGGCGGGATCCGCTCCGCTCCCCTCCCGCCGGCCCTGCAGCGCTGCGGCCCGGCCCGGCGCGGGGAAGGCAGCCGGCCGCGGGGCGCCGCGCCGGCCTTGGCTGGGGAAGATGCTGCAGTCGCTGGCGGGCAGCTCCTGCGTGCGGCTGGTGGAGCAGCACCGCTCCGCCTGGTGCTTCGGGCTGCTGGTGCTCGGCTACCTGCTCTACCTGGTCTTCGGCGCCGTGGTGTTCTCCTCGGTGGAGCTGCCCTACGAGGACCTGCTGCGGCAGGAGCTGGGCAAGCTGAAGCAGCGCTTCCTGGAGGAGCACGCGTGCCTCTCGGAGCAGCAGCTCGAGCAGTTCCTGCTGCGGGTGCTGGAGGCCAGCAACTACGGCGTGTCGGTGCTCAGCAACGCCTCGGGCAACTGGAACTGGGACTTCACCTCCTCGCTCTTCTTCGCCAGCACCGTGCTCTCCACCACGGGTAAGGGCGCGCGGAGGCTGCGGCGCGGTGCGGCGGGCCGGGGAGCCCCGCCGAGGCGCCCGGGCTCCYGCGCGGGTGCGGGACGGGTCTGGTGGCGCCGGCCCCTGCCAAGCAGCGGGCTGCGTGTCCGGCCATGTGGCGGTACCGACCCCTCCCCACGCGAAGGGAGGCTGCCCGTTCCAGCCCGTGGGTTTGCGCCTCTCGGGGGGGTTCCGCCTTGCTCCTGGGGCGCCTCCAGGCGAAGGCAGGGCGGGAGGAGCCGCCGGGAGAGGCTCTGCCGCAGGGCCGCGGCTCCGCAGCCCCGCTGCCGGCGGGCACCGCGCCCGCCGCCCCTGCCCCGGTCCCAGCCCCTGTCCCTGCGCGGGGCACCTCGGGCGGGCAGCGGCCCCGGCCGCGCCAGCGCCGCGTGTCCCGCCGCCCTCCCCGCCCCGCAGCCCCCGGAAAATAACAAAAAAAGTCACCTCGTGGCTTTGAACAGGCTCCTGAGTGACCTGGGCGCCCGTCCCCTGTGCCCCTAAGTGCTAGAGGAAGGCTCCTCTTAGGATTTTTGGTCCGTTTTTTTTTTTTTTTTTTTT